TTCTCTGGCTGGTGAGTGTGTGAGAAGGGGTTTGGGCCGGGGGGGGAAGGGGGTGCTGGCTGAGGTTGGAGGATGAGGAGGAGGGGGGGGAAGGAAAGGTTAGCCATAGTTCATGTCATCTTACTTACTCCTTTTCATCTTGCCTTACTTTTTTCATACCAAAGCTTATCTTACCTTAGCTCGTCTTAGCTTATCTCATCTTATCTTACCATCACAATATCCCCCCCACCCGCTTTCATAGGCATTATTTCATTTTGATCTTTTTGTGGAGTTTTCAAGGCTCTCTACCCTTTTGACTGGGCTGGGTTGTACTGGAGACGGATGTTACATTTGGAGGTCCTGCCTCTTAAATAACCTAATAGTATTGGTATCTTACACTGATTTGAATAACCAAATAGTATTGATAGGGCCATTACACCCATACATTTACTTATCTCCTCTCATCTTACTCTGACTTAAGTAACCAAATACAATATAACACAGATAGCTCGAATTTGTGGAGACCCGCCTCGGTAGTTCGAGGGATATCTTACAAAGATAAAGAAGAAAAGAAAAATGGGACCACGGGCACAGTTCGACGGATGCGTGATTTCGAGCCTTCTGTGTTCGACCTATCCATGTTATGCTGTAGTACTGATAGGGACATTAAACCCACACACTGACTTACCTTTTCCTCTGCCTGTGTGTCCCCCCCCCCAGGTGGCGCGTGTGGTCAGCGAGGTGGACAGTCACGGCGTGCCACAGAACAGGGACGAGCACTGCTCCATCTTCCCCTCACAGAACATTTTGTTTGACGGCACTCGCGTGCAGGTGTGGAAGGGCCACTAGGTCATCAGCTCTCGCTGGCGGAAACACGGCAGATGTTTTTGTGCTCGATGAGATTTCTGAGATTTTGAATGGTAGAGAGATTGAAACAGGCTGAGATTCAGTTATACGTGGTGATGGAAGTTTTGTGATTGAAAAGATTGAGTTGTAAAGATAGAAGAAACAGTCTGAGTTTCGCGTGTTGATGAAAGTTTTGTGAGTTGCAAGATTGAAACAGGCTGAATTTCATGAGATGGTAAAAGTAAAAGAAGTGGAAGGTGGGAGTGAGACGGATGAGCTTATCTAGCGGAACTTGTTCTCCTTTCACTCTCGTTGTTACAGTTGTTGTTGTTGTTGTTGTGATTGTGGTTGTTGTTGTGTGGTGAGGGATGAGTTTACAGCCGCTGCTAAAATTGACATTGAGCGGGTCTTTGTGTTTTTACTTGTTGTTTCTGTAGCTTTTGACAAGGCCTTGTCACAGATGTGTTCAGACTGGATTGTGATTGTCAAGTCTCTTGACCAACGTTTTACCATTTGAATGAAAGATTCAGTAATTGCGAATTTGGGAACAATCGGGGG